GCTAGAACTGTTGCAGATCCTGGTTCACATTTACATGCTTCATCAGACTACTTAAATACTTTACGAGTATCAACTAATTAAGCTGCGACATCAGTCAAGCAAATATTGGATCCGTACATGATGAGATTCCCGATCGCAACGACTAACCCGCTACTTGTAGTCATGCCTTTTGAGGCATCGGTTTGGGAAATGATCCTTCTGGACTGGACAGCCAGAGCCTATTCAACGGTAAAGTCGACACTCTTCCATTGTCACGAGAAAATGAAGAGATGATTTCTGGTGCATTTGCTGAGAAAAAAATGGAGAACACGTGACCAGAAGGAGGCCTAGGAATGCGTAAAGAAAGGGGAGTAGATGGGTCGGCAGAAGACGATTAGATATTCAGCTATTAAGAAATAAATACAAATATAAAAAGTCATGGCAATAAGGGGGACGAGGTAGGAGAGAAAAAGGACAAATCAGCTTAACATGGAATAGCTAAAAAGGATGGATGGGGGTCAGGATGAATAGATTTGTGCAGTTTAAAATAAATAAAGGGCATAATAGAAGAAAAAGGTGTAGCTGTAAGGAAATAAAGTGCTGCAGATGTATGGCCAAACTGGAGGGTAGATACATTATTGGGTCGAGGCATAAAAGGCTTAGATAAAGACGAGCAAATATTCTCAATGCGCATCTGATGTCAATCATTTGTCGTCTTTTTCACACTTACTCTGGGCAAAGTAGCGTCGACTCGTGTTCACGTCTGGATTGCTTGTTTCAGTTCTTTACATTCGCTCTTTCCAACGTGAGACTATCGGCCAAATGCCAAACAGTATTTGTCTGTCATCCTCCGTTTTGGCGACTTTTTATTCACTCCAACTGTCCGAGAATATCCTCTTCCGTTGGGCGATTGGCCCACCCTCTGGTGGACAACATTTCCATGGTCCGGACGCGAGGCATTCTGAGACTCGTCTGCGGTCCCGGTAGCTCTTGACAACGTGGAGTTCGGCTTCACTGTTGGCACAATTCTCTCGTTCACGGCGCCAACAGCTGATTCAGATGCACTTGATGCTCGCGAATTCTGACTCTTCGAAAACAACTTCAACTCACTTGAAGGAGAGCAGAATTTTTTGACATGCCCACTTGTCATGTGTCTGTTTTCGATTTTCGGTTTTCGGTTTTCGGTTTTCGGTTTTCTAGCCTCGACGACTCAACTCCACAAAACAGGTTACGTACCACCTTTTTGAGACCCAACAACAATGTGCTTGCTGGCTCAACTTGCTAGGCCTGATCCATTTGCCTACCAGTAAACTTTGAACTCTCTGTCACCGCGAAAATATCCAAGTTCACATTTGGCTAGGCTGTACTCTGAAGCCCATTTGAAAGTGCAGTTTGACGAACTGGGACTCGATGGAGGCATCAAGAGTTGTCGTCTTCCCGGTTTTTAGGGTCGCATCCAAAAACCGGCCGCCTGAATCAACGGTTTGGAACGTAGTGTAGACAAAAAAGGCATTGGCAAGCATTAGATGAAGTAGAAAACTGGCTGAAGTGAAGCTGCCTCTAGGCCGTCAGAGTCTATTTCATATGATTCTGCTTTTTCTGTCCAAAAATTAGTCTACCCGCTCTACAACGCACTAAATGAAGAAGTGAGAATTACTTCACTTTGCCAAAATTGTTGCCTTGAAATGCTTTGCATATTTCAATTCCAACTAATTAATTTGCAAGCCTGTCTTGTCCAGCGGGACTGTGTTTGTGTGCGATCAAAGGCTTTTTGTGCAAAAAAATTAATGAGTAGTATGCAAGTAATATGATGAAACATATTATATTGCCCGGATGTACCAGAAGAGTTGGAGTTTTGGAGCGTTTAGTAAAAAGCACCTTCGAAACGGAAAAGAAAGAAGGTTTACGTAGCCAATACTCAGAACTAACAAACATAAGGAGTGGCTAGCTTCA